CCCATCGCATCTTCAGCCGAACAAGCAGGGAGGGGGAGCAGAACAGGAGGCAGCGGCTCCAGTGGCGGCGGCCCCATTGCGTCCTCAGCCAAACGGGCAGGACGGCGGGAGCGCTGGCTGAGGAGGCGGAGGAAGCGGCCGCCGCTGCTGCTGCTGCCGGGCATCCCTCAGGGCGCGTCTCCCTCGCCTCGGCTGAGGCAAGGGGGGGGGAAGCAGCCTGGAAGTGCCCGCAGGGCAGGACGGCGGGAGCGCTGGCTGAGGAGGCGGAGGAAGCGGCTGCCGCTGCTGCTGCTGCCGGGCATCCCTCAGGGCGCGTCTCCCTCGCCTCGGCTGAGGCGAGGGGGGGGAAGCAGCCTGGAAGTGGCCACAGGGCAGGACGGCGGGAGCGCTGGCTAAGGAGGCGGAGGAAGCGGCCGCCGCTGCTGCTGCTGTCAGGCATCCCTCAGGGCGCGTCTCCCTCGCCTCGGCTGAGGCGAGGGGGGGGAAGCAGCCTGGAAGTGGCCACAGGGCAGGACGGCGGGAGCGCTGGCTAAGGAGGCGGAGGAAGCGGCCGCTGCTGCTGTCGGGCATCCCTCAGGGCGCGTCTCCCTTGCCTCATCCGTCCGTCCGTCCCTCTTCTCCACCTCGCGCGCACGGCTGCACCGGTGAGTTGAGGCAGCGGTTCTTTAGCCGGGAAAGCCGGTGAGGCGACGGAAGAATGCCTCGTGGGCGGGCGGGCGCAGGCGCCCTGGGGTTTCTGAGCGGCAGGAGCAGGTCTCTCAGCCTCGGCGCGCGGCCATTTTATCTGCCGTCGAGACGGTCGAAGACGGCCTTGCGAGAGTGGTTCTTTAGCCGGGAAAGCCGGCGAGGCGACGGAAGAATGCCTCGCGGGCGGGCGCGTCGCAGCTGCGGCTCCCGGCGGGTGGCCAGACCCTCCGCTCAAGCGGCAGCGGCACGAGGACGTGACCCCCGAGGAGCGGCCTATAACCAATACAAAATGGCCAAGTGTGGGAGGGCCGCTGGACAAGTGTGGGAGGGCCGCATTTAAATAGAGCAGGGAGGGCTCTTAGCGGGCCGGATTAAACCGGTCCGCGGGCCGCAAATGGCCCGCGGGCCGGACTTTGGACATGCCTGCCCTAGAGAGTAAAATGCTGACGAAAGCTACTCCTTACAAAACACAGAATACACAGAGAAAGAAAACCAGGAGAGTTTGTACTTATATGATGTATCTAAGCATCAGATGGTAACATATCATAGCAAGAGGACAATTATTATTGTTGTCTAAATATTGTCATGACTAGCAGTCTATGTGTGCCACAAAGGCAGCATAGTACAATATGCTACAAATTCAAAAGCAGTCCTAAAGTACTACTAAATAAAGACAAAAAGTTATAAATTTGTTGAGACTGTTTTCAGGTTCTTTTTGTTACATGAACTCTACATTTGCCTTGTTCAAAAGCTCTAAGGAAGTCATAATTGAGGAATAACAGCATGAACAAACTGCTAATCTTTAAATGCCCTCTAGCAAAAATACAGGATCTTTTTGAATGTTTGCGAAGAATCATGCCTGCACCAAATCACTTTGGCCCAAGTTTCAGAATTTAATTCACACTAACTTTCTGGCCTTTAGCCAGAACAATGGACAAGTATTTGAGTAGTGACATCTATTTATTAAGCTGTTGGGAGAAAAAAAAATCTAGAACAAAAACTCAATCCAGAATATTTTTGTTTGCTTTGAAAATAATCTTCTACTTAAAGTAGCAAATCTAATACAGTACATATGAATCATAACAGGAACTATGGGAGGGGTTTTTTTAAAGGAAGAAAATAAATCAGAAAAGAGCAAGTAAATTTAGCATCTGACTCTCCTCACCAGCGTTCATACTTACTTTGCTAAGATGCCCAAACTTAGGAATAATTTGATAACTTCTGTAATACAAACAGCTGTGGATGAAAAGTACAGAATTGCTCCAGTTGTTCTTGTATATCGCAATGCTACTGTATATGTTGCAGCCACTAAGGTCATCACCGTCAAGCAGTACAACTTAAAAAGTAGGCTGACATTTTCTGGGGGAGGAAAAAGGATCCTTCTGTCAAATATAAGAGTTAAAACTCCACCTTCAACAGTCACAAATAAGTCCACATGAATAATCTTGATCTTAAATACACAGGGGGGGGGGAGAATTCTAGGTACCCCAGCAATGATGACAGCTAGCCATCTACAGAGGAATATCTGGTAGCCATTAGAGCAGAGTTTCTGAAACGTAGCAATCTAAAGATGTGTGGATTTCAATTTCCATGGCTGGCTGAGGAATTCTGGAAGTTGGAAACTGCCAGGTTGCAGAAACACTGCATTAGAGGGTGGTGCACACAAATCTTCACAGGCATCATATACAACAATTGGTTAGGTTGGTCAGCCCTGTTACACAGTGTGCCCTGAAACAACATTTCCTTATGTCTAGGACAGGTCAACCACTATTTTTTTTCCATGATCATTACCATGGCATCTCCCACCTAAATAGCCTATTTGGAAGGGATGCAATTTTGTGTCTCACTCTTACTTCTATGCCAACCAACCTAAAACAAGAGGGTGGGGACCTGGTTCAAAGTGAACTGCCCTGGAGCAAAAAGCCTCAGATCTTCATGTCTTTGGGGTGGGGATGGGGGGGGGGGTGAATTTAAGTAATTGTTGACTCAGGCAACTGCCTGAACTAGTCCCTGGAATTTTTCTTGATAAGGTTTTTTGGAAGTGGCTTGCCCTCGTCTCCTTCCTAAGTTGAGAAAGAGGGACTGGTCCAAGGTCACCCAGCTGCTGTGTGCAACTGGCTTTCCTCATGTCTCTAGTGATTAACAGCAGGGTACTTACTGCATACATCTAGCTCTACCCAATTTTTCAGATACAATAATTTTCTGGAATTTTATTTCTTTGTGCCGAATGATTTTGTTTTAATAATTATATAAGAAATTAAGAATTAAAAATCCTGGCAGCATCCAGTTCCAGGTAATGATTTAGAATTGGTACCATCTCTCATTGTCAAGGAAGACTAGTGATGTTTGCCTTAGATCAGGGGTGTCAAACTCGCAATGTCACAAGACGTGTCACAACATATCTCGACTTTTTCCCCATTGCTGGAGCTGGGGTGGGCACAGTTTCAGCATGACACATCCAGCCCGCAGACCGGCAGTTTGACACCCCTGCCTTAGATTCTTTGCTTTACTTCTACAAAGTTAGGTTTTTTGTATTCCCCCAACACTGTATACATAGATCATTATACCATTATTCTAATATAGCTATTCATTCCCAGTCACTCAAACATTTATTCTTTCAAGGGAGTTCCACCTTGTGTAAATATTCCTCCAAGGTATTACAGGTTATACTTTACAACCATATAATTTTTGTTCATCTTTTAAAGATAAGATCTCATTTGCTTCAACATGTGGCAATGAGACTATCTGCAGCAGATACACGTATCATTCAGTGCAACCAGGTGGTGAACAGTGCCATTAAACATTTTTCTTCCTTTGAACAGTAACAAGAAAACTTACTTTTCATATTATTGGGGGTGTATTGCTTATTCTGTTTCCAGAATAAGCAAAAGTGTCATATATGATAGTTAAATAAAATGCCAAGGTAGTTAAATAAAATTAAGAGAAAGACTTGTTTATCTATTTAAAACATTAAATTTCAGAGATACAATGGTATAAGAGCCGTGGTGGCACAGAACGTAGTATTGCAGGCTAACTCCCTGCCCACTGCCAGCAGTTCAATCCTGATTGCTCAAGGTTGACTCAGTCTTCCATCCTTCTGAGGTCAGCAAAATAAGGACCCAGACTGTTGGGGGCAATATGCTAGCTCTGTAAACCACTTAGACAAGTTTAGCACTATGGTATATAAGTCTAAGTGCTATTGCTAAAACCATATAATGTTCTAATTTATCTTTGACTTTAAAATAGCATTGCATATTTATTGCATATTTCATAAAGTCAATTCAGGTGTTTTTTTTAAAAAAAACCTGACCATACTATTAACAACCTTGCCAAACTACTAGTAAACTAAAGCTTTTCTTCATATATATTAAACCTTCATATGAACATGCCAGAAACTGGATGAATCTGTAAAATGTGAACCACTTCCATAGAGAACTATTAGAAGTACAGAGAGCTATTAGAAGTACATCTAAATTAGGGGTTTACATAGCACAAATCTTTGAAAGCAAAACATATCATAGTTCTCTCAATGAACTGAGTTCAATGAACAATTTGTGTATTTCTTTCTCCTGTATACATGTCCAGATCATTGTGAAAATTGTCTTCATTTTCTACAATTTCTAATGTCAAATCTAATTTGGTACTCAAAATTTCATTCCATAGCTAGCACATATGCTTCCAAACTAAGCTCTTATGTTATTCTATTATTTCAGCCTGGTCAATTCATATGTAAACAATAAATCATTTGTACATTCGGTATAATCACGCCTGAAAAACAGAACCAGAACTACCATTGCAAAATGACAACAGATACATGAACATGCGTTCACTTGATTGAAAACAAGAATGGGAGAAGTAGTCATTAGATCTGGACATCACTTGCACAAATTAAGCATTATTTCCATACAGCACATACAAACTGTCCTCTCAACAACGCTGAAGACTTGTTTTAGCCATACAGACGGGACGTTAAAAGGCATGTATTTTTCCCGTGCCTAAAGGCTCTTAGGGAGAGATACTCCAACCAAATCACTCCGACCACTTTTTCCAAGACGGGACCAGATATGTTGGACTTCCAAACCTATCATTCCCAGCCAGCATAATTAAAAAGTCCGATACATCTGAAAAGCTTTGATTGGGAAAACCTGTTACAGTGCAACGGAACAGCTATCCACAGATAGCAGAAATGTAGTGACAACAAACCGATGTCGGCTTGCGCCTTGTAGAAACTAGCAACCTTCTTCTCCGCGGCATAATCAGGCTGGGTTCCATTCTGGGGGGAGAAACCTTTTTAGAATTCTCCACCCCCCCTCCCCGCACGTGGGGCTGCCCAACCATTAGCCCCAGTGAAACGGATCGCTCTCTTTCCGCACAAGCGTTCAAAGCGGAGCCGATCGGAGCAAGCTGGCTTTTGCAATCGGAGCACCAGCGGGATCATTCGCTTACCTTTCGGAGGCGCCATAGCAGCCGTGAAAAGGAATCAATTGGCGAGCAAATAAGCCCGCCCAGCCAATCAGTCCCCAATTTACCATAGAGAGCTATACAAGACAACTAGAGGGTCCGTTCCGGTACGCATCGCTCCGATCCTGCCGCCGGAAAGAGAAACAGACCGAAGCTTTCTTGTGAAGTTCTTGGAGGGTGTCAATCATCTCTTCCAGGAAGTAGGTGGCATTGATGCTGGCACGGCTATTCCTTAAAGGGACAGAACGCCAGCAAATTCTTATTTTTAACATAAAGACAGACTTCAGCTAGTCCAATTTAGCAACTTTAAGACAGGAGGATTTCAAATCATGTAGTCTTCAGCCAGCTAATTAGGGGATTCTGGGAGTTGAAATCCACCTCTTAAGTGTCTATGGAGATTCTCAGTCACCCAGGTCGTGGTTCTCCCAAAGGTGCTTTTTCAAAAAGCAACTGGGAAAAGTCCGAAGGAAGAACAAAAGTCCAGTTGCCCTTTTTTTGGGGGGGGAAAGCACCTTTGAGTCCACGTCTTAAGGTTGGCAAGTTTGAAAAACACTGAGCTGGAGCGAGCGGAAGGTCTGATCTCTTCTTGTGTCTTTTGTTTTGGGATGGACGTGCCACTGTCCAAGGCTATCTTTTGCAGCCGGGATTTCTCCCCCAAAAAAGAAGCAACTTTCAGAGTAGTATTTGTTAAAGTGTAGCCCAAGGATCCCTGGGGGCTACCGGAGACACTCTCAAGGGTCCGCTAAATCAAAATTAGTAGCCAAATATTGAAGATATTTGCAAAAATGTAAAACAATGTCACTCTTGTCATTATTATTTGTTAAAACTATAAGGGTTTTTTCATGAAAAATATGTTAGTATTTAATGGGTTTAATACTGAATATTTTTTCTGCAAATGGATCGGTTTTAATTTTCAATATAAATAAATATAACTCATATAAACAAAAGCTCTTTCAGTGTCCTCCATAATTTTTAAAAGTGGAAGGTGGTCCCGAGAGCAAACAGATTAAGAAACACTATTCTGGAGCACTTTAAGGCAGATATACACTAAGCTTTCCTGGAGTACGGTGTGAGTCATTCATCTCACCAAAATGGGTTGGATTGTTTATACCTCAGGCATTGGTTTTTGTTAAACTAAAATTAGTTTTGGGGTTTTGTGAAACTCTTGTGCTTTTTAACTCTTGCCTGCCCACTCCAGTCACTTTTGGACTGTATCCTCATGGTAAAGTCCTTCAAATTTGGATCCTAGTAATGACGTGAACACATTCATAGTTTTCTTGGCAAGAATATGTAAGTAGTTTGTCACTGCCTTGTTCTAGGATTTTTCTATTTCCCAGTCTACTGTATAAAAAAATGATGTCCTCTAAGCAACGCATGTGCTGATAGCATTTTTTCAGTTTACTGTTACATTAATTAATGTGCCTTTCCTGCCCCACAATGTCTGTGTATAGGAGTATTGATTGTTGAGGTTGAGATTTAACATAAAATATATACACATATAAAGTCACTGTGGCATTCTGAGGCTCTAAGGCTGGCCTGCACAACATGCAGCCCATCAGCATTCTTTAAAATTCTAAATTTGCTATTGCCAAACATCACCACCGCCAGAAAGGATCCATCACGCCCTGAAAGATATACTGCCAAGCACTTCCAACACCTGCAGGCCACACCAACACTTCCAACTCCAGCCCTGCTGCTGTGATAATCATCAAATCGCTGATCAGTATGCCAATTATTCCTTTGTGCCCTGTGATCAATTATCAATGTGCTCCTTTCCTTGTGCCCCTTGTGCAGTCCTGTTCTAAGGACCAACAGTGTTACCAGCTAACTCCACTGAGACAATTAGAGCTATGTAATGCTATGAAGAGGGTTGAGGAAATGAAAAAGGTGTGCACAAAATGGATTTAAAAAAAAACAACTAATCAATCACAGACAAGAGATGGGAAGAAAAGGCAGAATATCTAAGACAATAAGCAGCCTGAAAATTCAAAAATTAAATAATAAGCTTAAGTGTGATGGATGAGATGCAGTGTATCTTAGTTTATATTTGATAAAATTAAATTATCATTTCATACATTTAAGTTATCAGAGAGGGACAGGTCTGACCATGAATAATTTGTGCTGCAGCTTATTACTGATATTTGGAGCTTTTTTTTCCCCTGTTCCTATTCATGAAATGTATGTCCAACCTTCCAACCAAAAAATAGGAGACTCGTTTACATTTTTAAATATTTTAATTTATGGAAATGTTTTTTACTTTAACAACAAAATTTATGTTTCATCAACAGCTCTAGTTAAATTCACTTTGGTCATACGAGTAGTTGGGGGTGTTCCTCCACGAAGACCAGCTAGGAAAATCTGTGGCTTCGGTACATTGCTACTGTTCTCTCGCTTAGTTTGTGTGCCAGAATCCTTCAACAAGTATACTTGGCTGCAATTGTCTCGTCTCATATGACTGAGGTTGGTTTGCATTGAGTGAGTTAGCTTCTGGCGCAAGTTAGCCTGAATACAGAAAAAGATATGCAACTAAGCAAAATCACACTCTTGAAATTATGTGGATTCACTGCATATTTTCTAATGCTAGAATGACAGTAATTGAAAGCTAATATATATGAAGATATATAACTATAATAGATCTAGACTAATTAGATTGTTAATAGGAAATAATCATTTCGAGAAGACTTCTATCTGTTTTAAGATTGGGACAGTCTAGACTTTTCTCTTATAATGGTGACAGGGCAAAGGCAGAACAGGCATCTGTTTAATTCAGTCAAATGTCTATGAATTAAATTTCCAGCTGAACTATTATCTGCTGGTAAATATAGATTCAAGAGCCTCACTCAATCTTCTCTAGTTTCCGGTTTAAAAATAAAGATTGACTTCATTCTTGAGAATTCATTGGCTTCTAAATGTACTGTACCATTTTGAATTAGGATAGCTTTCTTCTTACATGTTAAAAAGAACAAGGGCAATTTATGCCATGTTAATTTATTAAATGTATATCCTGCCTTTCCATTACAAAGATTTAAAAGTAGGTTTACTTTTTTAAAACAGTTAAAAATGAAAGTAGAATAAGAGCAAACAAGATCAGATCTTATGGAAAACTTGCAGAAAATTGTTTTAAACTGGAACTTAAACACTGTTAAAATTAACATTTCAAACTTGAAATAAAACCTTCAGAGTTTCACATAGCTGCAGAGACTATTTCAATCATGGGGTATAAATAAATAAAAAGCCTGTTCTGCATACTGTATAAGTGATTATTCTCAACCTTTGTGGTTCACATTTCTTGCAAATAATCAGTCATGGGCTGATTACAATTTATTGATTACAACACCAATAGGCTTGGTTTTTTTAAAAAGACAAACTAGACAAAATAATCTGAATATTGTGTCTCATATCTCAGGTTTTACCAGAACTAGATATTTTGTTCAACTGGAAAATTGGGAATTCCAGTAATTAACAGGCTACCTGAGATTGTGGGTCAAAAACTCTAACCCTTTTAGTTCAATTATCAATCTAGGATACAGACCAGTTTGATGGCTTTTCTCCTCAACTCCCATTCATTCCATTCATAATTCTTCACAATTGTTGGTGGCAAAATGTGGGTGTCAGTCTGAGTACTGCTGTCACATTTTGAGATTGGTTGCAGTAAATGCTTGTCTTTAGCTCTAAACTGGAATAACAACAAGAATAAAAATAAACGTAATGTTATTCTCAACCTCTTTCCTTAATTTTTGGACGAATGTCACAGAAACTCAATCTGATGTTTTTAAGAATATGTTTTTGGTGATTATGGCTCACTCTGCTTTCTTCTCATTAAGCATTACTGAGAAGAACATCAGTAAGTGATTGCTTAGCATATTTCAAGTTGGGAAATCTGCAGAGCTAAACACACTGCCAATAGTGCAGACATCACCGCTGCACCAAAGTTCCACCTTTGCTTTGAGAAATATCCTATTCAGCTTCCTAGAACAGGTGTTTTCTAGCAGTGCCTTTTTAAATCAATAATTGAAGAACATAACGGAGCACCTGAGAATAAGGAGCCAGGCATTCAAACTGATGGTGAAGCTCAAGCAGCTGAATAAGCTCTGCACATTCCTTTGCTTTTTCTGCTATCATCCTAATGTATTTATCTGGATTCTTGGCAAAAGTATACGCAGCTTCCTTAGAATTAAAAGAATAATATCTCTCCTTATGTTTCAAGACTCCAATAGAAGGATTTCCTACAAAATTAAAAGCACAAAAACATTCACTATACATATATCTAAACATAATTTTCTTAACTTTTGAATTAAGAAAGCATGAATCTTAAAAAAAAAAAAAAAAAGTCCAAATTTTACATTGTGTTCCCCCTGCTCCCTGGGGAAGAAAAGAGGAAGACAGAGAGAAACTAATACCGTGTAACAGGGGTGTCAAACTCAATTTCATTGAGGGCCGCATCAGCATTGCGATTGCCCTCGGGGGGGAGGTGGGTGTGGCCAGGGTGGGTGTGGCCTACTGGGTGGATGTGGATGGAGTGGGTGTGGCCTATTGGGTGGGCATGGCCAGCTCTACATCGTTTGCGTCAAGGGTGCCTGTGGGGGCGTGGGCAGGAGTGGGACAGATCTGAGGGTCTCTGGCAGAAGGGGGTGGGACCGGGGCAAGTGCCAAGGCATGGTCTACTGGAGCAGCCTCAATGCCTGCCGAAACCCCTCCCCCAGAGCCCATCAAGCCGGATATGTGAAGTAGGCGAGGGCCATTTTCTGGCCACTTCCAGGCAATGGTGCATTTCTTCATTCCTCACAAAGGGTGACACCTCCCCAGCCTGCACCCAGGGGGCGGGGCCGATGCGGCAGGGGCTGGTTCCTCGCTGTTTCCAGACGGCTTTGTGGAGCTAAGACTGAATGCATTTCAGCATAGATGGCCACCACAAAATTGTACATTGGCTCCCAGCTGGCCTGGGCCAGGGCCAAGGCCAAGGCAGTGGGGGCCATTCCCTCACTGTTTCCAGGATGGCTTTGCGGGCCACATGAAACCACTTCGCGGGCCGCATTCGGCCCCCGGGCCTTGTGTTTGGCATGTCTGCCGTATAATGTGGCGGCACAGCAAATAGCATCAGGAAGCAATTATCATGCTTC